CTACATTATTACAGGTAATAGTAATTCAGTGGTGGATCCTGGGTGTGAGAGAACTAGTAAAAATGAGTAGTAAGGCAGGGGTGGAGGTTTAGATAAGGGTGAAAACATCAGACAGACTGAGAGGTTAAATAAGGCTGGTGGGTTGAAATCTCTGTGTAACAGGGATTAAAAGGTCAAATAGGTGGAGGCATGAGATCATGTTATGTAGTGAAGAAATGAGAGAGAGAGGAGGTTGAAAGGACATCAGGATGGAAGGGGAGGGGGTGTGATGTCCAAGAGGAGTTGAAATGTCAGAGATTAGCAAACATCTGGAAGGATAGATATGGTCTTGGTGTGGAATGGTTAGGGAAAAAGATGTTAGAAAGGCATGGAGAAATAAGCTAACAATAGAGATGTTAAATGGAGAATGGAAAAAGGGGAGAGCTAATAGTATACAATTTACTTGATAATATACATATCATATTGATCTAACATAGTTCTCTCAAAGAAACATACCCACAATCATCCACCTACTATCAAAAACTCAGAGTAGCCTCATCCCCAAGAGATCTCAATTCACTCAAGCTTTTACACAGCAAAATTGTACAGGCAATATGATACACCCAATAATGTTTTCATAATACATCTCAGTTTCTGTATGATACCAATTATCATTGCATGATGACTGAAAACACTCTTTGTAAAATCATATGAAAGTTATTCTCATATTCAGCAATAATAAGGTTTCATGCAAATCTTCTTAACATGATTGACTTTATATCTATATATATTACCTTCTTTTAAAAAAATCATTTGAATCACAAAAAGTTTGGCAGTTAATTGTTAGAAGAATTTTAACAAAGAAAATAAATTAGTTCTAGATATACCCTATTTTGGGTTTAGTTTCAAATAATCTCAATTTAATTTGAGATTCAATATCACAACCACTTGGACCTATCTATTTATCCAAGATGCTGCCTTTTTGTAATCAAGTGATGAGAGGAGAAATGATATGTGAACATGCCAATCATGCTGTGTTTTTTTTCTTCTGTCACTTGACCCTGTGTACTTTCTCTCTCTTTATAATGCAACAGCAATGAACATGTCTTCCTCTCTATACCATAGACATCTTCTGAGTAAGCTTTATTACCAGCCCAATAGGTAGACACATTAATAGGTATCTTGAGAAGTATGATATGTGTTATGATTATGTTGACCAAACTCCTTATGAAATAATTAATATCCAATAATACTGACAATTACAGGCAGTATATATGTGTTACAATAATATAAAATTATAAAACAAATCACTGAATACATCAACCTTTCCACAGTCAGTTCATTAACCCTGGTATTACAAACCAAACTTTCAAATATTTACACCAAAAAAAATACTCCTAAACAACCCCAAACATAATTGTAAGGATTTGAGGATTTCAGATACCTAGTCCAGATGACTTCTACAGGGATATTGAAAAATATCTAATTCCTCCTTGATATTGACTGAATGTTGGTCTTTTGCATTTCTGCATTAGGACTTTGGTGAAGTCCCTCAAAATTTGAAGCAGTGAAAAAAATCTGGTGAGAAAATTTTCTATTAGTAGCAGAAGTGCTCCAATTAGTGGATCAATTCATTGTGTGTATCAATTCAATGTGTGGATCAATTAAATGTGTGGATCAATTCAATGTGTGGATCAATTCAACGTGTGGATCAATTCAATGTGTGGATCATCAATTCAATGTTTGGATCGATTCAATGTGTGGATCAATTCAATGTGTGGATATGTGTGGATCATCAATTCAATGTGTGGATCAATTCAATGAGTGGATCATCAATTCAATGTGTGGATAAAACAATGCAATGTGTGAATCAATTCAATGTGTGGATCAATTCAATGTGTGGATCATCAATTCAATGTGTGGATCATCAATTCAATGTGTGGATCATCAATTCAATGTGTGGATCATCAATTCAATGTGTGGATCATCAATTCAATGTGTGGATCAATTCAATGTGTGGATCATCAATTCAATGTGTGGATCATCAATTCAATGTGTGGATCATCAATTCAATGTGTGGATCATCAATTCAATGTGTGTATCAAGAAGCTTTTTATGCTGTTTTTCCGTTAAACAAATTAACTGCACAACGTAACTGTATTTGTTTCACTAGGGGTTCACCTCAGTGTCAAATTTTCCTTTTTAGGCACTTATTTGTGTATTTGATATTATTTGTGATGTTGAATCAAAATATACACAAGTCGAGCAATTCTAATAACTCCATGATGAAATAAGAAAATATAAACAGGTGCACATTATGCCAGAAAGTCCGTGTTGAACCAGCAATGAATCCAATCTTATACATAGCAGGAACAAACAACTAGCATGTAATATACAGTAATTACTCGGTACAACTTAATCATCAGTCTCGGAAACTAGACATAGTAAAGCTATTGACATTTAACCTATGGTGTAAGAATGCATGAGGTTATAAAGTTTTCACTAAATGAATTTGATCTGAACACAAAAAATAATTTGTATTGAATTCAGGTAAACACAAGCGACAATACGCTGCTCAGCAAGAGAGATCATCTCTATGCAGCTCGATAAGTTGAGCGTAAATCCCAGTAAAGGTTTCAGATTCAAATTCTCAGGGAGGTATTGAAATAGATGACCTCTGTAACATTCACATGAAGCAGACTTGCCAAACTGTACAGCTAAAGGCTGGAAAAATGGGGCGTTACATTATCTATAAAATGTTTGACAGCTTGAAAACTGCCCAGATCATTTACACATTAATGTGCCACCTCTCCATAAAATATCAAAGGCTGGAAACAGACTGAAAATGAAATTAAGTCAGTAACTTAATCAAATTAACATTTCATGGTCCATATTGAGTATCACCCATGTATACCTGAGATTTTGATGTAAGTGAAAGAATGACATCAACTCTATAGACAATATCAGGATGGATATGCAATATCAGCACAAATGCTGATGAGGGTGCCTAAGGCAATACACTATTTTTCTGACCAGCTTTACCTCTGTGTCTTATCCAGCCAATCACTCAAAATACAAATATATTGCAAGTATCAAAGTACAAAATATCTCATGCAATTAAAAGATGAACATATAAATGTTTACAACTTTCTTTTCTTTTTCTTTTTGATTGTTGATAAAAGTATTAATGATTTATATAAAAGAAAAAAACCCAGCCTACTGTAGATTAATCATCCCATCTAATCCAAATAATGTAATTTATTTCAGTAGCAACTGACCTCATAATGATGAATAAGCTCACACACAAACAAATCGATGACCGACTAGGCCATTTACAGGATATTAATGTTGAAGAGTATTGATTAAATAATTCTATAACAAAATTAACATAATCACATTTAATGATAAAAAGAATGATCCAGTATCACAAAAAGAAATAACAGAAATAAAACAATAGCATACACAACAGAAGTACATAAATCTTAAATAAAACAAGTGGTCCATCAGGCCTGTATTGCTCTCCTTTAATTTAAATGATTCTACAAACCGTCACTTGGTAAAACCAATAACAGGAAAATTTATGTGACTTTTGATAAAAATGCAGAAATTTTCTCAGCCAGAACAAGGCTACAGCCAATATTTTTTATTGGTCCGAAAAACAACTCTAGGTTTGTAATGATCATTTGCGTCAAACGTTATCAAGCCAAATTAGGTCCAAATTCTTTTACCCATATTTAAATTCAGCTTGGTCTCCAAGGAAGTCAAATCAGTTATATCCAACCAAGTTGCTAATTGATACAACACAACTCAGTCCTGATTTGGCAAAATTGTTTTGCCCCTATTTAGTCTTATATCCTTACCTTTAAGGTCTCAACCTTTCAGAACATCAACGTTCTTCTGTGAGCCAATTTTCTGGTTACAGAAGGGGCATGTTCTTCATTTATCAAACATTGATTATTTCCTTTTGTCAGGAAAAGTTCATGTAAGATGTAAGCTGTTCAGAGTTAGTCTACAATATCAGATATCAATAAAATTTTTCTCAATGATAGCCCCTTTACTAACCCCACTTAGCCAAGATCTACAATAATCCTAGACCTCTTGGAGAACCTGGAATGTTGAAAGGATGTAAAACAAATAAATAAAACTGAAGTATCAAGAAAAACATAAAAGTACAGAAATAAAATACTCTAAAACTCAACGCTAACTTTTTTCTGTGAAATATTTCCATACAAAAAAAAAAAAAAAGGAAAAAAAAAGAACTTGAGAAAATTGTGGCAAGAAAGATTATAGAAATTTTATAAATATAATGAATTTTGAAGAAATTCCAACTATGAAATAATTGTCTTTTGCAAATTTACTGTTATAGGTAATACATGTAATATATCAGTACAATATCTTTGATAGGACAATGAAATCAACTTAAAATAATATAAAGATCTTCTCAGATGCTTACTTACCCAGTAAATACCTAACTAATCTATGATAATTGTAGGCAAAATCTTAAATAAGTTTGAAATGACATTTTCATTAATTCACATACATATAAAAAATAATTCCTAGCATATTGAGCAATATCAAACATAACCATCACACAGGACAAAAATTACACATATTAAATGTAATAACAATAGTACACTGGTTTAAGCATTAACTTTACAAATACTGTAAAAAATCAAACAGATAATGTATTAGTGTCATTGAAATATAAAAAGTTTATGAGTAAACATAATATAGACTATAAATGATCACACAGGTAGAAAAATTATGATGCTTTACTAAGTAATATATTACAATATTAATATATTAAGTAACTATATGATATACTCTTTTCTATATAACAGTATCTAGGGTATCAGTTTATGACAGACAAAGTTTCCGTTGCCAGCACCTAATAGTACAAAATTAGCATATCTTTCAACATAATTCAAGCAGTCTTAACCTGTAGATTCTTACTAATCCTTCAGTTTCATACATCAAGTGACTATAGATAACAAAAATAATTGTAAACATGTTTTCTCCCATATCCATCCTGGCTCTGAATCAAAAACAAAACTAATGCATTTTTTCTTTCCTAAATGACCATGATTTGTTAAACCGAGCAGCCTTCCTGTTGACTAGACGAGGGTTAGGTTTGCCCTTGGTCAAAAATACTTCCACAGACACACCTTTGGACAGGGGCAGCCATTTCTGGACCCCTCCCTCCTCATAATCTGTAACATTATGCAAATCAAGTAACATTAACAAGAAGTTGACATTAGTCTACATGTACAAAATCTATTAATTGTTTAATGATATTGAAATGAACAAACTAGACAACCCTTCATCCCAGAATGCTTTCAGCAATCAAGCAAAAACATTCATTTTGAAATAATATCAAGTTATAATATTGATACAACTGAAATATATTACTATATGAGGAAACACTGAATTTGAGAAAGTGTTCCAGTTTATAGGCACATTAAACTCTTACCTCTGAAAAGGTATTCCAATGTAAATGATTGCTGAGCTACATGTTCCTTGTGGTCCAGTTTGATATCCAATATGACAACAGTGTCTACATTCACACCTGCTCCACGGTCAATCTGTCACAAATACAGCATCAAGTATTACAGTGTTACAGCCTGCCCCAAGGTCAATCTGTCATAAATACAGCATCAAGTATTACAGTGTTATAAACTGCCCCACAGTCAATCTGTCACAAATACAGCATCAAGTATTACCACAACAGTCAATCTGTCACAAATACAGCATCAAGTATAACAGTGTTATAGACTGCCCAACAGTCAATCTGTCACAAATACAGCATCAAGTATTACAGTGTTATCGACTGCCCAACAGTCAATCTGTCACAAATACAGCATCAAGTATAACAGTGTTATAGACTGCCCAACAGTCAATCTGTCACAAATACAGCATCAACAGTCAATCTGTCACAAATACAGCATCAAGTATTACAGTGTTATCGACTGCCCAACAGTCAATCTGTCACAAATACAGCATCAAGTATAGACTGCCCAACAGTGTCACAAATACAGCATCAAGACTGCCCAACAGTCAATCTGTCACAAATACAGCATCAAGTATTACAGTGTTATCGACTGCCCAACAGTCAATCTGTCACAAATACAGCATCAAGTATTACAGTGTTATCGACTGCCCAACAGTCAATCTGTCACAAATACAGCATCAAGTATAACAGTGTTATAGACTGCCCAACAGTCAATCTGTCACAAATACAGCATCAAGTATTACAGTGTTATCGACTGCCCAACAGTCAATCTGTCACAAATACAGCATCAAGTATTACAGTGTTATCGACTGCCCAACAGTCAATCTGTCACAAATACAGCATCAAGTATTACAGTGTTATCGACTGCCCAACAGTCAATCTGTCACAAATACAGCATCAAGTATAACAGTGTTATAGACTGCCCAACAGTCAATCTGTCACAAATACAGCATCAAGTATTACAGTGTTATCGACTGCCCAACAGTCAATCTGTCACAAATACAGCATCAAGTATTACAGTGTTATCGACTGCCCAACAGTCAATCTGTCACAAATACAGCATCAAGTATTACAGTGTTATCGACTGCCCAACAGTCAATCTGTCACAAATACAGCATCAAGTATAACAGTGCACTGTTGTTTTATTCGCTTACCTCAAATGTGATGTTTAGAAGGGGATCTGTGACCTTGACCATTGATGACTTGGCAATGACCCTGCTACCGGACAGCAATCGAAGACGTTGACTAGGACTGGAAAAAAAGGACTTCACACCTCAGAGCACCTCAATACACGTCAAGTAAGATTGAGACTTTAGGTGATTTTACAGTATTGGAAACTATTACAGGAAATCACCTCTTCATCTGTACAAGAGTAAAGTTGGGTCTCGGAGATTTTTCAATGTATCAGTGATTGTAATTATAATACTTTCAACAGTTGTATATTGCCTCATCAGTCAACCATAAAACTTTCTCCAAGGTGTTGGACCAACGGATTGTTGCTCTTCATTAGTTTCCCCACATATCAATAAAAACAATAATCATGCTATACAACATAAAAATAACAATAAATTATCAACATTAACAAATACAATTCTCAAATTTTCTTAATTTTCATTAAGCTACAGTAGTACAGTATTATTCAGTTCCTGTTATTTACCAAATGTGTTCACTGTACACATTTGCTGTTCAGCCAACTCTGTACTGGTTGCAAAAATGTAAAAAGTATTAATGACCAGACAGCAAATTTGTCTGGTGCTCAATCAAGTGCTCAATCAAGTCATCATCATTTTTTTTCTTGTGAAAAAAGCCAAAATCATCATATCTACAGAGAGACAATAAATATAGACATGAGAAAGTGTGACTGTGTACCTCAGTACAGTAACCTACATAAACTAATTTTCTTACTTGTGAACTCGCACTTTACAGTAGATACTGGCAGTGTCAGGGAGTGACAGTCCTCTGACACGGAGGAGACGTCCAGACACGCTGTAAATACGTTCCACACCAGCGACACTGCTGTCTGTAACAAACAGGCCAAAACAGTTGTAAGATTTGTGATTTTTCTTGTCAATTCATTATCAATTGTTAATCTCAGAATTGGGAACTACTGCCTAGAATAACTCTATTTACCTTTTGGTGTTCCCACAAAGAGAAGTTTATAAAGCATGATTAGAAACCAATTACACTTACATCAAAACTTCAAAAATGATATCTTTTCAAGACATTGCCTGTTGTTTGAAAGAATTATCTCAAAACTTTCATATCATTATATGCTACTGGCCAAAGATTCAATTAATGGTTAAATAGTGGCTCCTGCAAGTTTGAACACACATGACAGTGATAGAACCCAGCATGCTCCTGGCCATTAGCATCTACTCATATCAAAGTTTTAAGAAAAGTATTTCAAAAACATGATAAGTTTTGACGTAAATATCATATTAGGCCTAATGGATATGCATGACATTAAATCTCATTTTCCTTTCACTCAGGTGACCTTAAACTCTTACCATAAGTCACATACAATATATAATCTGTATCTCAATGGCTTATCTATAATAAGCACCTGGACAAAGTTACAATACTGGAGACATACCACAGATACGGCCCTGCTGCTGAAATCAATTACTATGGTCAATGTACAGCTTTGTTACTTTATATAACGACAATCTTTCTGATTATCATTGATCTGTCCAAAGACATATCTACTAGAATTTTATTGGTGATTTGTACATAGAAAAAGATTGAAAAATGTAATGGAGTGCATGCAAACCATGATCATTCTGAATGATACAAAATTAAAAAAAAAAATGCACAATTTCCTCTCTAAAGGACAATAAAATAAAAAAGTGAAATATAAGTATTTACATATCAATTGTACTGGCTTTCAATGAAACCAAACCCTAAACTATCCCCCCTTTTTTTGGAGTGGGGGGGGGGGCTGGGTGTGGGTGTGGGTGTTGGGGGTATATGTTGAACATAAGGATCAATATTATGATATTGCTCATCAAGGCGTACAAATAAATCCATATAAATGTTCTATCACTATGACCTGCATTACATATGGATTTCAAATCAATTGTCTTTATAGACAAGTATTTGACATTCAGAGGTGACCTTTACAGAGAGGTATTTGATATGCAGATGTATTTGTTAAATAGAGGTGACCTTTACAGACAGGTCACACATAGTTCACTTTCATTTACAATATGGGGGAGTCTTTTTGAAGAAAACTGCAAACAAATTGTTGGGAAATGCTACATGCATGCTTATGTCTGTTATCTTCCCTTAATGATATATTGTTACCCTGTAAACAAACATACTCTGTATTATAAAAGTTCAACTGATAGCTGTACAGAAAGTTATCAAACAAATGATATTAGATATGAGATTCTGACTGTAATTTATCAATGAGGCCATGCAACACTAGAAATAAACTACTGAACATTAAATAAAACTATTTTGTACATTTAATTATAGAATATTCACAAAATTAACATGTTTCTCAATGGCTGATCCACCAGCTACTGGTACTTAAAATATAAACATCTTGTTATTTTGAAATGAACAACATTTTCTATTGAATGATATCCTTCCAGACATGTTGAACATTTCATCGTAATATATGGTCTCTACAGTGTAAAGGTTGTTGAATAACATGACAAAAAATACACCAATATAATACCAATGTAATGTGAATAATGCCTACTCCTACACAACACTGTTCAGTAACATTACAATGTTATTTTATTGTCCTCTAATAAGCCCAACCCCTGACTTTGAGAGTCAAAAGACACATGCCGGTCACAGCCCACCCCCTGACTTTGAGTCAAAAGACACATGCCGGTCACAGCTCACCCCCTGACTTTGAGTCAAAAGACACATGCCGGTCACAGCCCACCCCCTGACTTTGAGTCAAAAGACACATGCTGGTCACCTCAGCTTACAACAGGGTAAATAGTAAAGCAACTTTCACTGAAACAACTTTATTGACATCATGTAAACATTATTTTCTGTTGATATATTCCTGACATATCAATACATGTGACCTTAACATGGTACGATAATGAACAGCGAGAGAAAGAGCTATTTATACCGTTGGCATCACCTGCGTGATAGGGTATCTATAGTGGGATTTTCTTAAAAAGCAAGGAATGACTTGTAAACTCCATTTTCAAAAGGAATAACTACACACTGTATTTAAAACAAAATTAATATTCATGCAGATCTGCATTACCTAAATCTTCCTGCAGTTAAATGCTTGTGAAATCCTGTAACATTGAATTAATCTGACATGCAACCTTAATCAATTTACTTGTAACACTGTACTTTACAGATGGAATTTTCATATACATAACATATAACATATTATCTTGTATACAGTAAAGGAAGATATATCAACATATCACAGAATTCATTTACTGCATCATAATGTCCTTCTTATCTACTGATGGTTTACTGTTTTGTACCTTAATGTCCTCGTTGTCTACTGGTTTAACAACTGAGATTTTCCTGTGAAGGTTGATCTCAATATAATGGCATGCACTTATAACTGATATTAGACTATGAAATAAGCAGTCATGAAGGCACACCTTTTATTTTGAAGAATTCTCCACTTAAAAACTTTCAAGTGACCAATGACGTATAGGTTTCTCATATGAATCTGTTTAAATACAATTGCAGTCCATATTGTTGACTGTCTATGCAGGATGCAGAGTGACAAATTCTTTCTTTTGATACTTACGGATCATTCACAGTGGCGCAAATTTTAAATGTCAAAACAATATCATATTTAGCACTATTATACTCTGGTTTTAATATAAGTCCACGTAAGTGGTAAATTGTACATACAAAAATTCTGCATGCAAAAATGTTTCTAGCAAAAAGTACAGTAAAATATCTGGTATCAATATTTTCCCGACATTTAAGAAACATATAGACCTTAAAACTGCTTGCCTGGTTTTATTTTCAGCTATTGATTTGTTGGAGTCCCCACCCCAGCAAGACATACAGAATTTTTGATAAATTTGTAAAACAAATGAGACAGTTATATACCTCTGGAAGCAATTAAGGTTAAATTATGACATGGCTGTATGCTTTAGATCTGAAGAAAAAAAATCACATTTACCAGGTATTCTGTGATCATGAAATTTGGTCTATGCCATTCATTTGAAAGCTAAAGTTTCTTACTTCTTTGACCTTAACAAACAGCCCTTCATCTTTGTAAGCTAGAGGACAAAAAGATTTAGGGAAAACACAGCTGACAGACGGATGATGCACCAATAGACAAGTTGACAGCCATTTCGTAACCAGGTGATTTGAAAAATTAAAATGACATGCGTCTACAAATAATTGAGAACCACAACAGATTTATATATCAGATTCGCAAGTCATGTAACATGAACCTGTCTGTATATACCCTAAAGACCTCAACCAATAAAGATTGGTGCGACAAAACAGAAGACAACTCCATGCTTTATGTGATCTCTAGCAGTTTACATCGCCATGATCATATGAAAATACTACATTGAATGCCGAGCATCATGATTTACCTGTCGTACATTTCTCCTTTTTGTCACGGTTTGTGATTTTGCAGCTGTTACCTAGTAAGTAATCATGTTTAAAGTCAATAATACTAATATACAACATTGTGAGACAACATGATTGCTCATTTGATTGACATTTTAGGCAAACAAGTAAATAAACTGTAAACTTGTTCACTAACTTTTTATTGTAAAAACTGTCAAATGTGACTCTTTAACCTATACTAATAACATCTGATCTAATCAAATTTAAAACTTGGTTTTATGATACTACTTGAAAATCAGGAACTACATCTGTTAAGGATTTAAAAACATATCTTGTTAACAAGAATTTTCCTGCAGAAGATGTTTAGTGTTTTAGTATTTGTTAATCCAGATTGATGTAAAAGGTGTAGAACTTGATGAAATTGATGTTATGATACTATGGAGTAAATATGAACCAAATTAGATTGTTAAACTAAAACATTGCTTTGGAATGAAACAGGACAGATGGACAACACTATATGACAATCTATAAAATGGTCAGGATATTTGTAAAACCATAGCCTTCATTGACTTAAATCAAAATCTTCCCTTACATCAAAAGCAATTCAGTAACAAAGTGTTTTCAAATAAGTGCAGGAGGGGAATCAAAATTATGTCCCATATGCTTTAACCTTTGACTTACAGAATACTCATATACTACCAACTAGAGTCTCCCAATCAAGCAACAATGTTTATTCAGATAGTGTTCAACAAAGGATAATTACATTGAAATTGTAGTACTAATGATTGAGATGTACACATCACTCTCCACCAGACATAAGAAACAGTACCTGACAGGAAATGTGACAGCATATTTGGAGGATATCCATGTACACTGTATTGTCATTCAATAATAATCTCATTGGTTAAGGAATGGAAAGAGAAGGCAATCTTATAACTAAAATTAGTAAATGCCTGGCAATGATATATTGGCACATGCAATTTGAAGTGTGACATGACAATACTGTTTATATACCACATAACAACAGATGATCTGTAGAATCACCACCACCAACAGGCCAGTACAGGTTTGTACACAATAGCAGAACATTACATTGACAATACATTGGTATATAGATAGGAGCTGACTGACGAGTGCAATGAAGTAGGAAGTACTTGCCAAGAATCAAGGATTCTTCAGTTTCGGCAGCTGTAGAGGCTGTGTTAGGTATACACAATTTAGTATCAAAATAATGTTTACAGTCCTGATTCTATAATCAACTATAAATTTTCTCTATCATATCTGATATATTGAGAATCATATCTGATTTCAGTAGCACATTTCTATTCAAATAAATTCTTTAAAATGTAAACGAGGAGCTGGTCATGGCAATTCTGAAGATTAATTATTTTTTTGAGAATGAACATGAATTAGCAATAGAAATGCCAGTGAGTTCACAGGAAACACTAAAGCATCACAAGCCATGAAAGCAACAACCACTTTTGTCTTAGTTTTTGTTTCTAGCCCCGACAAAGGTTAGTAAATATCTTAACATGTTACTGTAAAGTACCAACATCAACAATGAAGCATTATGTTAATTAAGACACATTTTGAACAGATTATAGCGCATCACATTTTGTATACCAATAGTGTTTAACACATCTGCTTAGTCAAACTTCTCAAGGCACATCAAATTCTTGTAGTAATACGTCTAACTTTGTACTTACCCATAGATATATTATCCCCATGGTGCAGGGCGGCAAAAGAATTTGTCCTGTAATATGAAAACAGAGTAAACAGGGGCTCACAAACATGATGGATATGACCATCACAAATGCAATATTATAGTCGTACAATAAGTAAGACCTGCATGACGAGGTGAAGTCTTTGCTTTATTGGATAGATATAATATCAGATGTGTATAGCATTTAATTTTTAATGAGACAAATATGACAGGGTATGTAGGAAATAATTAATGGTAAAATAACTGACTTTAATGTACTGAAAATTTAAAGTTTACAGTAATTTAATGACTAGAGTGATATTTCGTTGAACATATATCAGATGTTTCACATTGTTACATTATGCTATCTTGTAATAAAGGATTGAATTAAATAACCAACAAAATTTACAAAATACTTACGAGTCTGAGTGCCTCAATCCTGAGCCAGCTGAAAGAGTATGACCATGGGATGACCTTCGTTTATTCATGTTGACATCAGAAACAGATCTGTGTAGTCCACCATTCCCAGAGTTCTGTTCCGATGCCTTTCGTCCTGTCCGTGGAAGTGTAGCAATGCTGGAGTTCTGAGTGGGTTGTGATGGCCTGGCTGCCTGGAGCTTCTCCATCTTCCCTGGGATAACTTGTTCTGATACAGCTGTCATGTCAGGGGTACCATTGGGAGGGGTTACTGTCACAACAGCTGGAGGGTTAGACTATACAGACAAAAAAAGCACAATATCATCTCTATCCTTCTGCCTTTAGATAGATCTTCCTATGAATTATCCTAGTTGACACTCCATAGAGTGTTATACATTTGATACAACATATTTTTATGTGATTCAATCTATAGAAATTAATTAGAAAACCATAATTTATTTATTTATTCATTTGAGACCTGACCCAGAGGTCACAGTGTTCCTTAACCAATCACATATAATGTCTCTTTTCAAGACATTATTTGTTATTGGCTTAGTCAACACTAGACATTTATATTATAAACTTAAATTGTTTAATTTTTTTGAACAAATAATGATGTAAATCTATTGGAAATATTTGAAAACTATCATAAATCATAATATCAGTACCTAAACATGTGACTGCAACTATAATATCAAATATTTCTTTCATACAAACCATGGTAGGTAAATCTGGCTTCTCAAAGACCTCATCGTCAGTAGGGGGCGTGGTAGGTACACTTGATTTCTTTGGGTTTTCTCCCTTCTCACTCTTCTTCTGTGCTTCCTTCTTAATCAAAAGATTGACATTAAGTGGCAAATTGCAGCATCAGTTATCTTGTTTACAAATATAATGGTTTCAAACAATTTAATAGAGTCGCAAAATCTGTATTGCCCCATTCAAAAACATCAAGAGGAATACTAGACCTATAAGGTCACATGATATTTTAATCAATACACCTTTCTCGTTGTACTAGAATATATCGAAAACTTTCTAAACTTACGATTGTCTCTTTGCTAGTCACAGTACACTTGATCTGGATACGGCCATGTTTAGCTCTCCCCAAAGTCAGCCATTCTGGTTTAGCCTAAGACATCAACATGATCATGTTTCACATATATATGATATACAAATCATTTTAATCAGATTTATATTAACTGAAATAAACAATTGTTAATTAAAAATGTAAGTTATACAAACTACAGGCCTCAATGTTACCCATTTGACCTCCAAAGTTTAATTCACTACATTTTCTCCAGAAGGTACATTCTAACCGTCAAGGATTTTCATCTTTAAAAAATGCACAGTACTTGGAATAAAGTGTAATAAATCGCTGTAAACAAAGTATGGAGAGAAAAGCATTTTTCAATACAAAATTTGAATTCAAACAAAATGAGAAACAGAATTTCCGATTCCTGGTATTTGTCAGATTATTACCTTGTAGGAGATTTCTTTGAGTTTATCCATAGTCAACATCACTTTCCCCAGGAAGTCTCTGGAAAACACATCCTTGTCATACAAATTCTGGAAATCAGAAACAAATCACAGAAAAATATATCAATTTGTACTTATTACAATGTTATACTATCATGATGTTCTGTGTGGAAGCTGCACTTAATTATTATTACAATGTTATACTATCATGATGTTCTGTGTGGAAGCTGCACTTAATTATTATTACAATGTTATACTATCATGATGTTCTGTGTGGAAGCTGCACATAGCTATTATTACAATGTTATACTATCATTATATTCTGTGTGGAAGCTGCACATAGCTATTATTACAATGTTATACTATCATTATATTCTGTGTGGAAGCTGCACTTAATTATTATTACAATGTTATACTATCATGATGTTCTGTGTGGAAGCTGCACTTAATTATTATTACAATGTTATACTATCATGATGTTCTGTGTGGAAGCTGCACTTAATTATTATTACAATGTTATACTATCATGATGTTCTGTGTGGAAGCTGCACTTAATTATTATTACAATGTTATACTATCATGATGTTCTGTGTGGAAGCTGCATATAGCTATTATTACAATGTTATACTATCATGATGTTCTGTGTGGAAGCTGCACATAGCTATTATTACAATGTTATACTATCATTATATTCTGTGTGGAAGCTGCACTTAATTATTATTACAATGTTATACTATCATGATGTTCTGTGTGGAAGCTGCATATAGCTATTATTACAATGTTATACTATCATGATGTTCTGTGTGGAAGCTGCACATAGCTATTATTACAATGTTATACTATCATGATGTTCTGTGTGGAAGCTGCACATAACTATTATTACAATGTTATACTATCATGATGTTCTGTGTGGAAGCTGCACATAGCTATTATTACAATGTTATACTATCATTATATTCTGTGTGGAAGCTGCACTTACTTATTATTACAATGTTATACTATCATGATGTTCTGTGTGGAAGCTGCACATAGCTATTATTACAATGTTATACTATCATTATATTCTGTGTGGAAGCTGCACTTACTTATTATTACAATGTTATACTATCATGATGTTCTGTGTGGAAGCTGCACTTACTTATTATTACAATGTTATACTATCATGATGTTCTGTGTGGAAGCTGCACATAGCTATTATTACAATGTTATACTATCATGATGTTCTGTGTGGAAGCTGCACATAACTATTATTACAATGTTATACTATCATGATGTTCTGTGTGGAAGCTGCACATAGCTATTATTACAATGTTATACTATCATTATATTCTGTGTGGAAGCTGCACTTACTTATTATTACAATGTTATACTATCATGATGTTCTGTGTGGAAGCTGCACATAGCTATTATTACAATGTTATACTATCATTATATTCTGTGTGGAAGCTGCACTTACTTATTATTACAATGTTATACTATCATGATGTTCTGTGTGGAAGCTGCACATAGCTATTATTACAATGTTATACTATCATTATATTCTGTGTGGAAGCTGCACTTACTTATTATTACAATGTTATACTATCATGATGTTCTGTGTGGAAGCTGCACATAACTATTATTACAATGTTATACTATCATGATGTTCTGTGTGGAAGCTGCACATAGCTATTATTACAATGTTATACTATCATTATATTCTGTGTGGAAGCTGCACTTACTTATTATTACAATGTTATACTATCATGATGTTCTGTGTGGAAGCTGCACTAAATTGTAAATTTGTTATTAAATGAAATTGTTTTTTGCTGATAATTTAAGTGAGTTCACTCACATTTTCAACTATATCAAAAATTGTTATGTATATATACTACCATAGAAATTTGTGAAATACTTCAAAGAGATTTTTTTGATGTAGTGAAATTTTGTTCAGAAAATATGAATTTCCAGGAAAATTTCTACCAATGCAATCTTAGTAATAATGAAAACCACATAGATGAGATAAAAATGTTTGTACACTTACAATTTCAATGTTCTGAGTATCATCTGCCACCTCAAAGGTTGTGCTCTCATTCCATTTAGGAAACAAAATGTTCTTTTTGACTGAGGTCCTAAATATTTTCTTGTTGGCAAGCAACACTTCACAGAATGGATCACTCGAACCTATAAAATAAGTCTAGGTTATAAAACCTATAACAATAAGTCTAGGTTATAAAACCTATAACAATAAACCTATGTTATAAAACTTATAACAATAAGTCTAGGTTATAAAACCTATAACAATAAGTCTAGGTTATAAAACCTATAACAATAAGTATAGGTTATAAAACCTATAACAATAAGTCTAGGTTATAAAACCTATAACAATAAGTATAGGTTATAAAACCTATAACAATAAGTCTAGGTTATAAAACCTATAACAATAAGTCTAGGTTATAAAACCTATAACAATAAGTCTAGGTTATAAAACCTATAAAATAAGTCTAGGTTATAAAACCTATAACAATAAACCTATGTTATAAAACTTATAACAATAAGTCTAGGTTATAAAACCTATAACAATAAGTATAGGTTATAAAACCTATAACAATAAGTCTAGGTTATAAAACCTATAACAATAAGTCTAGGTTATAAAACCTATAACAATAAGTCTACGTTATAAAACCTATAACAATAAGTCTAGGTTATAAAACCTATAACAATAAGTCTACGTTATAAAACCTATAACAATAAGTCTACGTTATAAAACCTATAACAATAAGTCTAGGTTATAAAACCTATAACAATAAGTCTAGGTTATAACACCTATAACAATAAGTCTAGGTTATAACACCTATAACAATAAGTCTACGTTATAAAACCTATAACAATAAGTCTACGTTATAAAACCTATAACAATAAGTCTAGGTTATAAAACCTATAACAATAAGTCTAGGTTATAAAACCTATAACAATAAGTCTAGGTTATAACACCTATAACAATAAGTCTAGGTTATAACACCTATAACAATAAGTCTAGGTTATAACACCTATAACAATAAGTCTACGTTATAAAACCTATAACAATAAGTCTAGGTTATAAAACCTATAACAATAAGTCTACGTTATAAAACCTATAACAATAAGTCTAGGTTATAAAACCTATAACAATAAGTCTAGGTTATAACACCTATAACAATAAGTCTAGGTTATAAAACCTATAACAATAAGTCTAGGTTATAACACCTATAACAATAAGTCTAGGTTATAACACCTATAACAATAAGTCTATGTTATAAAACCTATAACAATAAGTCTGGGTTATAAAACTTATAACAATAAGTCTAGGTTATAAAACCTATAACAATAAGTCTAGGTTATAACACCTATAACAATAAGTCTAGGTTATAACACCTATAACAATAAGTCTATGTTATAAAACCTATAACAATAAGTCTGGGTTATAAAAACCTTTAATTTACATGTTTGGATATGTTCTGATGGCCCATAAAACTATCAGAATATTTAACATTTGATAATTGCTTTTGTGATTTAGTATTAGTTCATATGAGGTACATTTACAAAGTCCAGATTCAGTTGGAATACTCACACTTAACAAGAATACTGTATTATGGTATGACAGTACATACACAACATAACAAGAATACTGTATGACAGTACATACACAACATAACAAGAATACTCTATGATGGTATTACAGTATATACACAACATAACAAGAATACTGTATGACAGTACATACACAACATAACAAGAATACTGTATGACAGTACACACACAACATAACAAGAATACTGTATGATGGTATGACAGTATATACATAACATAACAAGAATACTGTATGATGGTATGACAGTACATACACAACATAACAAGAATACTGTATGATGGTATGACAGTACATACACAACATAACAAGAATACTGTATGATGGTATGACAGTACATACACAACATAACAAGAATACTGTATGATGGTATGACAGTACATACACAACATAACAAGAATACTGTATGATGGTATGACAGTACATACACAACATAACAAGAATACTGTATGATGGTATGACAGTATATAGACAACATAACAAGAATACTGTATGATAGTATGATAGTATATACATAACATAACAAGAATACTGTATGACAGTACATTCACAACATAACAAGAATACTGTATGATGGTATGACAGTATATACACAACATAACAAGAATACTGTATGATGGTATGACAGTACATACACAACATAACAAGAATACTGTATGACAGTACATTCACAACATAACAAGAATACTGTATGATGGTATGACAGTACATACACAACATAACAAGAATACTGTATGATGGTATGACAGTACATACACAACATAACAAGAATACTGTATGATGGTATGGTAGTATATACATAACATAACAAGAATACTGTATGACAGTACATACATAACATAACAAGAACACTGTATGATAGTACATACACAACATAACAAGAATACTGTATGACAGTACATACACAACATAACACAGAAATACATTACTATATAAACAGTACAAATGATGTCAGATATGGAACAGAAACAACAATTAGAATACTGCTGATAAAGCACAACTTTGTACAATTGTAATAAAAAAACTTAGTAACTTTTCATGAAATTGGTTCAAACTGAGAGAAGATATCTTTGGAAGAAATTGATATAAAAGAAAAAAAAACAAAGGGCATTTACTCTACCGTAAATTGTTATGCTGTTCAGAAAATTTGATGTCATTGTAATAAAGCCTACATGCATTAAAGTGTTGTTTGAAAACTAGGAAGGGAGACATCTAACCTTGATATAAGATCATGACAGCTGGGTGGACAAAATAACTCTATAATCTATTGACAGGTGTAAAAAAAATAATGTGGATCGTTTGAGCAAGGTGCTATGTTAGACAATAGCAGTGAGAAACAGCAAGGACTGTAATAGGTTCTGGTCAGACTTTTCAAATGGAATTCATCTCTTTTTTTATCTGTGATGTAACACATCTCACCAACCATAGCATAACAAACAATACTGGCTTTGTTAATCAAGTGTTACCGTTTCTGTCCATAGCCATGAGGTTCTCTGCCTGTAATATGGTCAAGTCTACCAGGATCTTATCTACAATCAAACCAAATACATATTTGAACATTTTATGCTGATATTTTCTTACATAAAAAAAATCAAGAAAATGCCAACATGGCAACATAATCATAATTCAAACTCCAACTCCACAAAACTAGGGCAAAATATGAACAAACAAAAAAAAATTGCACAGAGATTCCTGAAAAAGTACAAGGAGAATAAGACCAGGTGTTCCAGAAGAGTATGCATTGTTTTAATGATATAATCTGATATTTATCATAATTTAAATAGTTTATCAAATTTTGTCCTTTTGATAAATTAACTGTTTAATTATTTCAATATTTTTGAAAATTTGTCTCTCTTTTGTTCAGTTTGTCAAAAAGGAAACAGAGGATATTTGTTGCTCCATCATGAATAATTAGGTAAAACTTTATCAAAAGTGTGCAAGAAGTGAAAAACATAGAAAGTTCCCTCCCCAAGTGAAACACATAAAATGTTCCCTACCCAAATGAAAAACATAAAATATTCCTTTCCCAAGTTAAAAACATACAAAGTTCCCTCCCAAAGTTAAAAACATACAAAGTCCCTCCCAAAGTTAAAAACATAAAAATTTCCCTCCCCAAGAGATGAAATATAACTGTTATTCATCAAGAAAGAAGTAATTTTTCATTCATTTTTTCTAATCTTTCATTAATGTCAGTTGGAATTAAATGCTCTGTTGATTCACATTCTCTATTATCATTACTTCATCCATATACAATCATTTCAAATCTCAGACAAAGTCCTTTAAATTATATAAGTAAGTAAATACAACACATGTAATGTAATTATTTCCTCCCAATCATAGATATATACACTGTATGATATTTTCCAATTTCCACTAGAGTTGTCATTCTTTAAAGATAGCACAATGTATTTTGAGGAAAATTCATATTTTCACTGCAAATGCTGTGATCTGATTGGTAAAAAATAAATGAAAATCACTTGTTATTTTCACTCAGTGAAAATTCATTGTAAAATTCTATTTCTAAATTAAATAAATTCTTTCAAAAATTTCCAAATGATATCAGACTTGTATGTGAATGTATACATACACCAATATTGTAGTTCAAAGCTAAGGCTATTTGGCTGATGTATATCATCATTTTCAAACAAAATGTAATTCTTTTCACTTCATAATTTCTTATCTGATCTATGTAACTGTTAAAACCACCATTACTTTGTGTATATTAAAATGTCACTACTGTTACTAACCATCAGGGAAGTCTTGTGAACCAGCAACTGACTTTGATCTCTGTGGGTCCCCTGGGCCGCCTCCCTGATGAGGAATGAAATGCATGATAACATCAAGTACTCTCTTGTTTATCAAATATAAAGCGGCAGATTTATACAATCATTCTTTAAAGGGTTAAAGACTTATAACCAAAGATATACTTATATCCCTTAGTCAATAGACAGTCTTATATCCCTTAGTCAATAGACAGACTTATCTCCCTTAGTCAATGGACAGACTTATCTCCCTTAGTCAATAGACAGACTTATATCCCTTAGTCAATAGACAGTCTTATTTCCCTTAGTCAATGGACAGACTTATCTCCCTTAGTCAATAGACAGACTTATATCCCTTAGTCATAGACAGACTTATCTCCCTTAGTCAATAGACAGACTTATCTCCCTTAGTCAATGGACAGACTTATCTCCCTTAGTCAATAGACAGACTTATATCCCTTAGTCAATAGACAGTCTTATTTCCCTTAGTCAATGGACAGACTTATCTCCCTTAGTCAATAGACAGACTTATATCCCTTAGTCATAGACAGACTTATCTCCCTTAGTCAATAGACAGACTTATCTCCCTTAGTCAATAGACAGACTTATATCCCTTATTCAATAAACAGACTTATATCCCTTAGTCAATAGACAGACTCATATCCCTTAGTCAATAGACAGACTAATATCCCTTAATCAATAGGCAGACTTATCCCCCTTAGTCAATAGACAGACTTATATCCCTTAGTCAATAGAAAGACCTATATCCCTTAGTCAATAGACAGACTTATCTCCCTTAGTCAATAGACAGACTTATATCCCTTAGTCAATAGACATAAATCATATCCCTTAATCAATGGACGGACTTATATCCCTTAATCAATAGACGGACTAATATCCCTTCGTCAATAGACAGACATATCTCCCTTAGTCAATAGACAGACCTATATCCCTTTGTCAATAGACAACATATATCCCTTAGTCAATAGACAGACTTATCTCCCTTAGTCAATAGACAGACATATATCCCTCAGTCAATAGACAAGAATCATATCCCTTAGTCAGTAGACAAACCTATATCCCTTAGTCAATAGACAGACTAGTATCCCTTAGTCAATAGACAGACTAATATCCCTTAGTCAATAGACAGACATATCTCCCTTAGTCAATAGACAGACCTATATCCCTTAGTCAATAGACAACCTATATCCCTTAGTCAATAGACAGACTTATCTCCCTTTGGCAATAGACAGACGTATATCCCTCAGTCAATAGACAAGAATCATATCCCTTAGTCAGTAGACAAACCTATATCCCTTAGTCAATAGACAACCTATATCCCTTAGTCAATAGACAACCTATATCCCTTAGTCAATAGACAGACTTGTATCCCTTAGTCAATAGACAGACTTATATCCCTTAGTCAATAGACAGACTTCTCTCCCTTAGTCAATAGACAGACCTATATCCCTCAGTCAATAGACAAGAAACATATCCCTTAGTCAGTAGACAAACCTATATCCCTTAGTCAATAGACAGACTAGTATCCCTTAGTCAATAAACAGACTAGTATCCCTTAGTCAAGACAGACTTATAACCATAGATAGACTTATCTCCCTTAGTCAATAGACAGACTAATATCCCTTAGTCAATAGACAAACTAGTATCCCTTAGGCAATAAACAGACTAGTATCCCTTAGTCAAGACAGACTTATAACCATAGATAGACTTATCTCCCTTAGTCAACAGATAGACTTAAAACCATAGCCAATAAAAAGATTATATAGCCAAGACATAGAAATACAAGGTCTACAGGATAATAGATCCACAAGGCTATTATAATATGAATGATATTAATCCATGTGCATTTGTAATGTGATATGATATTAATCATAATCAATTTCAATTTAACAATGAGCAGTTTACTTCTACTCAATGAGACTTAAGTATATGGCTGTGTATATCCAAACCCACATGCAAGAAAACCTTCTATCTAGAATGTGTTTCATTTACTCTCTATATAACATTACCAGTATTCAAAGAAACCTAGCAATATATACAGGCTATATTTTAACAACTCCCAGTGTTATCAATAAATATTAAATATTTAAACAACATGCTTGCATATTTATTCTGTTAATGTATTTTGAAAATAAAAACATAAAATACAAATCAATAACATATGTATAACCGGCTATGCTCTCTACTTATGGTGTTTTTCTGAGAGAGACCTAGACAGGCAGTATTCATGCTTGTATCACAGTATAGTTGTGATGCTTTCAGTTTTAACACTTAGTTTCTGAGCCGTGTTTCTTTGTGATATCACTACACCTGTTTGGTATTGGTGTGTACATCTCAGTCCTGTTGTGATGTAGTTAAACCATTCTGTAGCAAGGAATGTAAGTACAAGGTGATTACTTATATACAGTCTCTAATGATCTACATGTGTCCCCTATAATTAGATTTGCTGAACTATCACCTCCACTGCTCTGCCAGCTGTGTAGCACATTGTTTCCATGTAACTACCTTATCACATACCAGTATAACATCCCCATGGATAGTCAAAGACCTTAACTATTGACTACAATAAAAGAAAAACAAAGTGAGCATGGACTATACTAGGATATACTCCCTATAAACCCCATTTTTCCTTGTGATCTAAATCTTTTGAGTGGTTAATCTATCTATCTTATTATTATTTTATTTTAAAAGTGGTTGACAGTGACCTTTGACCTTGACCGATGACCATCAAAATTTGAAAAGTTAATAAGTGATTACTATATATATATACCCCCATTACATAATTAGATGTGGAGGGGTATGTGTGATTTCTACATAAACTCCTTACATATACAGTGGATATAATGATGTTGAATACCTGTATGTACAGTGTATAGAAAGGGCCTCTATCAAGTTATAACCTTCATATGACCTTAGACGATATAAAGATATAAAATTTCAAATGTTTAGGTAATTACACATCATAACCATCAAGTATAATCAATAATAGTTTTCATCTTCTTCATTGTTCTTCATTCAGCTATTCACAATGACTTATCCTTCATATTTAAGAAGTTTATCTTATAAGGGGGTCTACAAAAATGTAGATTTCATTGAAAAGAAAGAATTTGTTTCCCATCTTCTGAAAAAAAGTTGTTCAAGCACATATCAGCATAATTTTAGGTACTACTAGTCACGAATCTTTGAATCCATGACAATGTATTACTACAAATACTAAAGGAAAGTATATAAAAGACATGCAAACAAGTACCACATCATGCAAATAATATACTCTTATTTCAAAATTATCTCCTTTTTCAGCAAACTTTGCATGTTAGAACAAATTAGTCAGTAGAAAAGTTGATCAAAAGGTCCAGAAATAAACGGATTCATGTTCTTCACAGGCATAGTGACCACACCTGAAATCTCTACTTTTTTATGTCCATCTTTTTATTTATATTTCATATTATTAGTTTTTTCCAAATTAAGAAATACTCGTGCCAAGCCATGAAAATAAAAGGAAAAAGAATTTTTTTTTCTTTAATAGTGCAAGAATTCTCTTTGGAATTACCAGTATAATTTCAGAAAAAAATATAAAACATAATTTTTTTTTACCACACATTTTTCTCTTCAATCTTTTCATTTTTGCAGAATCAAAACTTGCATAATGCATTTCATGCCAGCAATATCTATGTATGATTACACATATTTACCTGCAGCAGAATCCAGTAGATATTTATATTGGCACTGTATCAATAACATTATCAGTATCAATACCTGATCATTTCCATGCCTGCAGTATTTTATCATTACCAACCAGAATGTTTTCATACTAGCAGTACCGTTAACTTGACAAAATCTCTTATCTGCCAGAAGTACAATTGTATCATTTATTAAAATAGTGTGAAATTCATGAGTAAAAAAAAGAAAACTGAATAGGCAAAAGCACCACTTTACAGCAAAATGGATTGGCAAATATTTCTGGCATATTCAAGAACAAATTTCACTTGAATTTTGATTTGATCAACTTTTCACAAAGTTTTGTTATATTTGCTCTTCATCAACAATGTTTTGTCCAAGAAGATAACATCTGCAGCAGAGAAACTTTTAATACCCTTAACAACAATACCTCTGGAGCTATAAGGCCTGACATCTCATCAGCCTGTTTAAAGTACAACACAAACAATTACCTAAAAGAGGAATGGAAAGAAAATGAAACTGAATATAAACTGATTAATGGATGAATTCAACAAGATGTTTTTTTATCTTCACTCAGAAAAAAACAATTACCAGAGGTAATGAAAAAGATTTAATTTGTAAATAAATAAATGTAGTAACCTGAAGACTACACCTGGTAATTACCTGAAGACTACACCTGGTAATTACCTGAACACTACACCTGGTAATTACCTGAACACTACACCTGGTAATTACATAAACACTACACTTGGTAATTACCTGAACACTACACCTGGTAATTACATAAAACACTACACATGGTAATTACCTGAACACTACACCTGGTAATTACCTGAACACTACACCTGGTAATTACATAAACACTACACCTGGTAATTACATAAACACTACACATGGTAATTACATGAACACTACACCTGGTAATTACCTGAACACTACACCTGGTAATTACCTGAACACTACACCTGGTAATTACATAAACACTACACCTGGTAATTACCTGAACACTACACCTGGTAATTACCTGAACACTACACCTGGTAATTACATGAACACTACACCTGGTAATTACATAAACACTACACATGGTAATTACCTGAACACTACACCTGGTAATTACCTGAACACTACACCTGGTAATTACATGAACACTACACCTGGTAATTACCTGAACACTACACTTGGTAATTACATGAACACTACACGTGGTAATTACATGAACACTACACATGGTGATTACCTGAACACTACACCTGGTAATTACATGAACACTACACATGGTAATTTCATGAACACTACACCTGGTAATTACCTGAACACTACACCTGGTAATTACCTGAAACTTACACC